TATGAAGTTCTTCTACGACTCGAGTACATAGTAGATTGCTCGCATCTCGAGGTAATTTATGTCGAGGTCCCTTTTGTAAAGTTGCCATAGACCATGTATCAGACCAGGGGTCCGGAAACCGTCATATGCGCCGGACATGTCCGATTGGGAATCTCAAATGTCCGGTTTAAAATATTGGTTACCGGACATTTAAATTTTTCTGTCCGGACATTTTAAAAAGTATTGTCCAGACATTCTTAAATTTTGACCTGACATGATCAACAGTTAGGACTGAGCAGTTTCTGTCTGCAGTTGTAACACAATGAAGATTATCTACACTGACAAGCTTTGTTTCTTTGATTGCTGTAAATACATCGTACCTACATGATAGTCCAATCGGTCAATCACTGTAACAGGCAATAAACTGAGTTGACACTGATTAATCGAGGATTAATTACTGAGAACATCTTGTTAATTTGAGTGAAAGGTGTTTACAACTGTACAAAAATATATTGCATCATGGTCCAAAATTTACTCCAAAAATCTCTTAATAAAATACAACAATGGGCTGACAAATGGGGCTTCTCCCTTAACTCAGAAAAAACAACAGGAATAGTATTCAAACATAAAAACATGAAACCCGCCTCCCCAATCCTCCAGCTAAACAACCAAACAATCAAATTTCAAAAACAAACCAAATTCTTTGGACTTATTTTCGATGAACATCTCACCTGGGATGCTCACATCCAAAACCTAACAACTAAATGCAGTAAAGACCTAAACACCCTAAGATGCCTAACTGGCTCTAACTGGGGAGCCTCCAAAGATACCCTCCTCTCTCTATACATATCACTAATTAGATCAAAACTAGACTACGGCTGCGCCATATACAACACCCAAAACAACTCTCTATCTAAAAAACTTGACTCAATACAATATCAGGCTCTCAAACTAGTTACACGCACCCAACATGGCACCTCCTACACCTCACTTCAGGCCTTAACAGGAGAAATGCCACTAAGTCTACGCAGGGAACAGCTAAGCTTAAATTTCTGGGCCGCGTCCCAATCAAACCCTCTCATCCAAAACTTTATAAACCAAAACATCAGCCCCCAAAACCAAGCTCTAGCTCGTAAACACCCCTTACTTACCCCAATATCCCAAAGAATAACAAACTACCTAAATGAACACCAAATTAAAAATCTTAAACAAAACTGCAAACAATCAAATATCTTCACCCCTAAACTTAAAATACCCAAAATAGACACAACACTAGCTAGCCAAATAAATAAACAAACCGACCCAAACATAGCTAAAACTACCACACTAGCATACATACACGAAAATTGGCCAAATTGGTGTCACATTTACACGGACGGATCCTCAGATCCGACCTCCAAACACACAGGTTTCGGAGTCCATGCCACACAACCAACTAAAACCACACAATCCTTCCGACTCCCAAACAACCAATCAATATTCACGGCAGAACTAATGGGCATGGCCTCAGCCCTCCATAATCAAGAATCCAAAAACCACAAAAAAATCCTAATACTTACTGACTCCCTAAGTGGACTGCAAGCCCTCCAAAACAAAAATACCAAAAACCGACCTAAATTAATAAATCAAATACTTAAAAGCTCCAACAACCTAACTAAGGCAGGCAAACAAATAACCTTCTTGTGGATACCTGCCCACGTAGGAATATACGGTAATGAAAACGCCGATAAAGCAGCTAAACTATCCCTCAAAATCCCAGAAATAAGCTTAAACTTACCCATCTCAAAATCAGAAATTAAAAGTGTAAACAAGCAAAAAATCACAAAAAATGGCATAACCTATATCTAAACTCAAATAGCCAAATCAAAAATGTACTCAGCAAACCAGTAACCAAACCAAAAATTCTCCATCCATCAAAACAAATCGACAGAGTAATCACTAAACTCCAAACAGGACACACCAACCTAAATAACCACCTAAAAAAATTAAAAAACACTACAGGTAACTGCCCACACTGCAAACAACTAGAAACCCCAGAACACGCACTCATCCATTGCACACACTACCTAACACATCGAACCGCATTACAAACCACCCTCAATCTAAACAAGGCTCTCACTCTAGAAGCAATACTAAACCCACAAAATAAACTAGAAAACTTCAAGGCCTTAGGCGTATTCTTAATAAAAACAGAACTAATAAAACGCATCTAAAAACACAATAACCTACCAAATCAAAATCACATAAACAAACAAACATCCACCATACCCAGCTCCCTTAGTTCTCCTCCCCAATCCCATCGGCATCTATTCCAAATCTCAAAATTCCCAAAAAATTCCCAAAGCGGGACGACAGCCAGTCGACCGATGCAGATCAGTCGAGCGGATCTGCCAAACCCTCAAAGTCTGGACGATCATTTGTAAGTCGTGGCTAACGACTTTCACTTGGTTGACATACAATGAGGATTTGCAGATTTTATTGTTTTCAGTAGCTAGTCGTATATTGAATCTTGTTTGACCGCCATTTTGCTTTCTGTGACGATCGATATCATTTTTTTATGGTCAATAATTAAGTACAGATGAAAAAAGTATTCAAATAACTATTCCTATCAAAGATCTTTTAGTATTTGTGATTATATTATTTGTCTTGTTTTTAAATAATCTTTAGTTTAAAAAAACACTTTTCTCGTGAGGTCACATGATAACCAAATATGGGATAATAGTCTCGATCCAAATGTTACAACGTGTACACTTGAGCAGACTCATGAATATAACTCATGAATATTAATTAGACCATTCACTACGTTAACAGATCGTTATTATAACAGAAACAAACGTATGTTTTCCATGTATATCTAAAATGATATTATTTGTTATTAATTGTCCGGTGAATTAACAATTTAAATTGAAACAATTCATAATTCATCATATTATGAATACGTAACAACTTGTAATGTTTGTGAAAAGTCGTCCTAAAATACGCTATTTGAAGGGGGCGTGGCCTAAATGCAAATGTCCGATTGGGATTTTAAATTTTCCGGACCCCTGTATCAGACTGTGGTCCTCAACCTGAGTTGGAAGCATCCGTGTACAATTGGTTGTCGGGCGGGAGTTTGAAATACAAATGGAAAACCTGCCATGATGTTCCCCAGGCCTGTCCACCTGGTGAGACAAACCAGTAGCATTGGAGGGAATGGCAATAGGATGTCCAACGTTGACAAGCATACTGAGTTCATCCAAGCTTGGATAGTGTGAAAGTAAAATCTCCCCCAATTAGTCATGTCTTGCTGGGACATCAAATTCCTGAACAAAGTCAGCCATCAAAGAGTGTTGTTGGGCCGATCTGCCACATTGGTTACCATTCGCATCCTCCTGATACTACAATCCTCTGGTGGACAAATCTTTCCTCTGTGAAGCTGGAATCTGGCGCCAATATAAATGGTATCTTGTTCCTGGTTGATCTCTGATTTGGTTGTGTGAACCATGAAAATGGCAGTGAGATAGTACTTTGATCCAGAAGATTGTGTTATGGCGAAACTATGCCGACAGGAAGCTGTCAATATCAATATATATTCATGAAAATATGAGCCAGTTGGATATGAGCAAAACTGATGATTGGAGCTGTAAATAGTGTGAACAGCCAGGGTGTGATGGATGTCCCAAACAGAAGGAAACTTGTATGGCTGTTGACTGAGAATTAGAGTTATGACCTTGTTCCAGGATGGATTGGTACATGTAGGCACGTATCCGGGAAGTCAAGGCTGATTGTCCCCAGTCCTGAGCGAAGTGAGTCTTGATTCCAGATGGAATCGCCATCCTTCTGGCCAATAGGCAAGTTTTGGTCTTTGATGGAAGTGTAGTTTGTATCCTTCCAGAACAACCCATAGAATCTAGATCTTCTCATGGGATCCCTTCTGTTGCTGGCTGCTTGCTAGATTGCCTCTTTTGATGGATGATTTGGATCATTCGCCTGACTTACTGGAGGAACGCCTCATGCTACCTTGGGTAGCAGATGTTTTGCAAATTCTGTCTCTAGGCCCAACCTGGCCTGAATATAGTACACGTTCAAAGTCATAGAAGAGAAACCAGACAGCTTCCTTGCAAGATACTCAAGGATATGCTAGATACTACTTATATGTAAGCGAATGTAGCGAATGACAAGAATGTAATATGACGATGTCACTTGTATGCTGGGCATGACGCATGCAGACTTACTTAGCAGAAACAAAAGGGGTAAACAAATAACAATTGGCATCCCTGAAGTAAAGGTAATTTTGTTTTATGCACAAAAAACATGTGATAGATAAATCTGAGTTACCAATGTTAGATAAAAATGAATTATGTACAGTTTCCTGATTGCTTTATAACTGGTTACTGAATAATTATTGTACAGATGCAATTGTATTATGTATAATGTGAAATGTATCAGGTGCTTGATAAAGGTACTAAAACCTGTACTAAAAGGTCACACTGGAAGAGTAAAGAAGATAAAATCCATAAGTTAACCCTGTCTGCATGTAAACAAATGATTCGCAATTTTATCTCCTCAGAATTTATTGATTGTTCCCATTAACACACTCGGTACCTTTAAAGTATATTTGCCATACTGTATCATTAATAACTGTGTTGTGTAATTTGTTATGCTTTCTTTGGTTTGACATAATCAAGCTTTGGGTACTTCAAGATGTGCTCATTCCTATTACGTTTTACAGCAATTCGTCATTAATTTATGTGACACTGGCCCATGTTTCAACTTTGATATTTTTTGGTGACCAGAGTGCAACTTGGTTTTCATGTCAACATGCATCTGGCACAAGTTAAAACAAGTTCCTTCAACATGTTCAATCAAGCTCTGCATAAGGTTGAATTGTCATAAAATTATTTCTATACTTCAGGTGAGCTACAGGGCCTTGTGGCTCCACTTTTGTTGGGGATCAAGCCCTTTGTCTTCCATATTCTTGTCTTACCCTGTTTTATAACCATTGTGTTATTTGTAGAGCTTCCGTTTTCTTCTACTTGCAGGTGAGGATGTAATTGCTTGTGCTAAGACTGGCAGTGGGAAGACTGCTGCCTTTGCTCTGCCAGTTCTGCAAAAACTGTCAGAAGATCCATATGGGATTTTTGCTGTTGTTCTTACGCCAACAAGGTGAGCTTTCAGAAGCATTAGGTCTTGAAAACCATTTCACAATCTCAGATAACACAAGAGCCAGAGTAAAAACTGCAAGGTCAAGGAATCAGAAACATTGATATTATCTGTAGCAACACAACGTGATTCAGAAATATTGTTTTTAGCTCACCCCACTGAAAGCACCTTTGTATGAATCTTTACCCTTATTCAACCTTACAACATAATAGTTGATGTCATCAAAGTGAACATGCTGAACCACGATTTATACAATCCCTTACATACCAGTATGGTTAAGGATACTGGGATGGTAAGCATGTTTTTCAGTAGCACTGGAAAAGAAGAAGGGTGTGGGGAAGGAGATGGGACAGCAGTATCAAGTTAAGAATTGTCTACTTTTCATTTATCTTAACACAGTCTGAAATATATATATATTCTTTTATGTTGTAATAATTTTTTATCAGATATAATACTTGGCTAAAGTCAGGAATACTATTTCTATAACAGTATGTGGTTTATTAGTGTTTTCAAAATAATACAAAGGTGCTTTTTTGAGACTACAGTTTGGGGTCTCCAAGTAGGAATGATACTTGATCAAAATGCAGGGTCTTAGTAGTTTTTTCTTCATACCAGGAAAAGAATTTTTTAATCAGGTTTACAATGAAAGAAGAGTTGGTTTATAGTTTCAGATTCCCTATTCCAAAATGAGCATAATTCATCTTCACCTTTTCCAGTATTTAACAAACACTGTTTAGTGTTATAATTCTATAGGTAGGTTCATTTTAGTTGTGCTGGCCTACAACTGGGTCTGCAATTAATAGCTGTAAATGGCATTCTAACTGCTCATCCTCAGATTCCCCTTACACTGAAAATTAATAATGTTTTATGGTCTGTTGCTATAAACTAGTATTAGGTTGTAATATGCATCTATTTCATCAAACTGAAGATAACTGTTTCACACTCGATTCTTGTGTCCAATTAATGGCAGTAAAGCACTTGAAAACGACTAATTCTTGCGAATCCTCTACCTCTATTACATCTTTGCCATAAATCCTGTATTTTGGCTTCAGTCACACAACCTAAAATTTTCAGATTTTCAGCAGATGTCCTCTTCACTGTCAATCACACAAAATGGCTGTTCCCAATATTACACTATAGCACTATTATGAACATCTCCCCCTCCCGGGAGCTACCCACGGTCATTCGGATATGAGGAGGTTAATCACTAATCAGTATGATGTTTCACCCCAGGGGGATTACACAGAGGGATACACCTTTATGGAACTCATTTATTTCATCTAATGCCTGTACTCCACCTCCTATGACAGAAAATTCACCACCTAAGATGCCGTAATATGGAGGATGTCATGCTCCTGCATTATTAAAACATATCCACCAGACATTGCCGTGGCCGAGTTATACAGGCAAGGTAGTAGACCAGCTGTCTGATTACTCAAGCTCAGACATGATGACTGGCTACCCTTACCTACATTGAAGCAGAAGTAGTATAGAACTCTCTACTTCCAGATCATCAAGTTTAGGACAAAGATTTTACGAAGCTAGTACGCAACCCTAATACTAATGTCACGTAACCTGCTTCAAGGATCAAGGACCTGTCCATGGCGTCCAGATATTCAATGGCCATTGGCGCTTATATCAACTGGTTTGTCGCCGGAATCAGGCACATCATTCCACCATTGCAGACATAATATGAAGGCTTATCTGGAGAGACGCATATGATTATTAGAACGGATCAAATTGGGCTTATCCACAGCCTGCTAGACACCATGGTCAGATTGCAGGAAGACTTACTCTCCACCCCAGTCTGGATGTCTTCACAGCTACTCTGGGTTCGGTCTCAACAGCTACTAGCACAGATTTGTTCAAGAGCTGTTTCTAAATAAACCAAGATGTTGATAATGTCACAACCAATATCTGCTCCCAAGATGTTCAACGGCTAATTGGGTCATGTCATAGACGAGGTCAGACAAGATACAACGGAAGGTTTTCTAGTATCAACTATCAACCCAGCTGCCAAGGCACATGGATCTTCCAATTCCCAGAAGTGTTCCTGGGATCAGAAGGACTTGTTATATCGTCAAGTCACACAAGTTCGATCGACATGTAACTTCGATCGGCCATTTTGAATGATATTTCTCGCGAAATGTAACGAGAAATTACGGTACCTGCAGCTTTGATCTTCTGACAACACCGCTTTCGTTCGCTTGGACCGGAAAATGCTTCGTGTCAAGTTACCAAACGTAAGTAATAGCTCATATTCAGCAAACAACTACTTTTTAACCCGAGATCACTAATGTAACTTGATCAGCTCAAATAAAATGTCAATTGTAATAAATGCACACGTTGTAAATCGACGGCACACCTGTCGTCTGCTTGTTTACGTTCATGGTGTAAATGTCACGTGATGAGACACGTGATGAGACACGTGATGTGCTCGCCAAAATTTAAAACTATGGAAACAAATTAGGGTCATTTCTTATTGAAAATGTTATGCTTTTTGAGAACTTCTGTCTCTGGAGTTTTGGTGATATATAAAATAAACCTTTATTTTTACAGGTTTTGACCAATGGTGAACCAACCAGAAGAGGTCAATATAGGCAATATTTGTCTGCAGCCCTAGACAAGGCATATAATGCTGTTTTAGATGGAATGGCAATTAGGAAAGCTGCCACTACCTTTGCTGTTCCATTTGCTACACTGCATGACAGGATGAGTGGGAAGGTTTCTATTGAATGTAGTACCACTGGTAGAGAACCACTATTGTCCATGGAAGAAGAACAGGGACTTGTTTCACATATTGAAGCCATGGCAAATTTTGGGTATGGCTATACAAGGGCTGAAGTTACTACTATTGCCACAGACCTAGCAATATATGTTGGAAAGAAGTCAAAGGATGAACAACCCCTATCACTTCAGTGGTTCTATGGGTTTATGAAGCGATGGCCTGATCTGTCAGTGAAGAAGCCACGATCCCTTGAGATACAGAGAGCAAAAGCTACCTCAGAGGAGACGATCACTCATTATTTTAATGAGCTTGGGCACATCATGGATAAGTACAACCTGAAGACATGCCCTCATCGCATTTATAATGTTGACGAAAAGGGACTTATGGAGCATCATACCCCACCATCAGTTGTTACATCGAGTCAGAGTACTCCAGCTGCAGTCACAACATCAAGATCAAGTACTACAACGGTTATAGGTTGCGGCAATGCGTCTGGTAGTTCTATACCACCGTATTTTGTATTCAAGGGCAAGAGGATGCGGGAAGAACTCCTTTCAGGAAGTACCCCTGGAGCAGCAGGCACTGTAAGCGACTCTGGCTGGTCAAACACGGAGATTTTTCAGCACTATCTGACAGAGCATTTCCTGAAGCATGCTGTCGCCGCGTCTGCAGATAGTCCACTTCTTATTGTGTATGATGGTCATAGATCCCACGTATCTATTCCACTCATCGAATGGGCACGTCAACATCACATTATTTTGTTTGTACTGCCTGCACACACGTCCCATGTTTTACAGCCAATGGATGTTGGTTGCTTTGGACCTTTTGCTAAAATTTACAACAACCTCCGTCATACGTATATGCGGGAAAATGCCACAAGTTCAGTTGATAAACATTCTGTTTGTGAACTTGGCTGTAGAGCTTATAACCTGTCGCTGACACCAACAAATCTGCAATCCTCTTTCAGGAAATGTGGAGTCTATCCATTTGACAAGTCTTCCACCGCCAATATCAACTTTGCGCCATCAACAGTTTTTAAGTCGACTGAACCTTTGCTGCATCCTGATACTGGTGTTATTGATTCATGTGTGCCAGTTGGAGACAAGGTTGTCACTTCACCTACTGAGGGCAATGATGTAGCAGGATTCTTTAAAGACAAGACGACTGTACTTTTCAAGAAAGCTGTGCCTACTAAAAAGAGAAACGTTCTGAGCGCTGTTGTCGGGGGCAAGGCCATCACCGAAGACGTCATTCTGAATAAAATTATTTCTCACCAGACTGTGAAATCGGCACCCAAAAAAAGAAAGCAAGCACCTAAACCAAGTAAATCTTTAAAAAAAATAAATACTGTCACTGCAACGAATGCAAGTACTGGAACTTCACGGTCCAACGCGCATCAGGACGATAGTTTTGATAGTGATGTGACAAGTGATGACGAACTGTGTTGCAAATGTAGCAAATTTGTACCTGATGAGGTTCGAGCTAATGTCTCCCTGATCATAACAACCTGGGCACAATGTACCAACCCTACATGTCAGCACTGGACACATTTACGTTTCTGCACGCCAGTTCGTGTTGTGCGTCGACATTCTGAGTTTTGGTGCCCCTGTCACGATGAGCCTGAAGAATAACTCCCTGCATCAACCTTGTAAATAATCTGGATATTTGTGACTTTTCATCGTTTTTTTTCAATATTAAAACATAAAATGAACGTTTGATGGACAAAGATGTAATAAAACAACTGCGGACTGTTCTAATTCGAATTTTGACACAAGAGATCGTCCATACATGTCATCCCGGTTATGCGACAAGCCAACCAATCAAATGATCGAACTTGTGTGACGTAGCTTTCTGGGTCACTTCTGTTGACAGTGAGAGGGCGGCCATGCCGCGAGTGTAAATTTCAATGGAAATACGTGGATTTGGGAAATGTTTGTCATAAATAAACAAGTTCACAGGTAAGATATTTGAAAAAAAGATTATATGAATGTTACTATGAATATTCAGCGACTTTTCGTAAGTGATCGAACTTCCATGACACGAGGATATAAACAGCCTCCTAAGAAGTTTTTTTGTTTTGTTTGTTTGTTGTTTTACGCCGCACTCAGCAATATTCCAGCTGTATGACGGCGGTCTGTAAATAATCAAGTCTGGACCAGACAATCCAGTGATTTACATCATGAACATCAATCCACGCAATTGGGATCGATGACATGCATCAACCAAGTCAGCGAGCCTGACCACCCGATCCAGTTAGTCGCCTTTTACGACAAGCACAGTCGCCTTTTACGGCAAGCATGGGTTGCTGAAGACCTATTCTACCCCGGATCTTCATGGCGACCTCCTGAGAAGAGTTTTGTCCCTTCCGGGGAGGATTTGTTCCAACCGAGTCGGGGGTAAGTCTTTTTGTCAGTCAGAGGTGGCAGAGGTGAACACAGATTCTGACTTCCTTGCCACCCACTCCACATTTATAAACCCTTTCGACCTGGTTATGTCTATGGACTGCGATTTACGCCTACAGTCTTTCAACATTATGCCGACTCCGACCCAGTGGGAGGGCGCCTTATGTCATACGCTGAAAATTGGAAGCAGATTTCGCCCGACCACTGGATTCTAGACATTGGGCTCACAGATACAAACTGCATTTCAGAAATGTCCACCAGAATATTGATTCGTCAAGACTATTACGATGAGTCAACCCAGCATGCCTTAAAGGTGGTGGATGTCTCTTCTGGGCAACCTAACGTCTAACCAGGATATGACCTTCAGAGGAAGGTTGATGTTACGTCCTCTACAGACATGGATCAACTCGCTATGATCCCACACCCCAGAGTTCAAGACTTAGTTGTCTCCCTACTTATTACAAGACCTGCATTGGTGGACTCACAGAGAGCATGTGATAAGCGGCATTCCTCCGACTTCTCCAAAGCCAGAACACATGCACGTCAGAATCGGGATTAGGAGCCCATATGGACGATCTCATGGTACAAGGATCTTGGAGTGCTGGAGAGACGTTCCTTCATGTCAACTGCAAGGAAATGAAGGCCATCTGTTACACCATCCTGGCGTGGAAGATACGTCTTTCCAAATCATCCATCCTCATAGCCATGGACAACACCACAGTAGTGGCATACATCCAGAAACAAGGAGGAACCAGATCCAGTTCTCTGATGATAGAGATTACTCAACTCGAAAGGGTGCACAGGAATTACTCACGCACGAATACAGTGTAAGCGTTGGGCGTCTCAACGTGCGTGATTCCTGTGCACCCTTTCGAGTTGAGTTGATTTGGTCAACTGTGTCATATGGCCCTGTGACGCAGGGGAAGCATTATGCAGATGGCTGTTTCAATGAATGCTCGTTCCACCTGTGACGAACAGGTCTGGTTTTTGATTAAATATAGTAACAGCTAAATAGACAGATTGTTTATTCATGCACCGATTGTCTTTAAATGTAATATCCAGTTATGTATGACTGTTTAATAATCTCATACCAACTTTGACTGGAGTAGGTCTGATAGTTTTTCAGATATTGTAGTAAACGTCGGTACCTTAAATTACCTTCCAGACTATAGTTGACTTTCTGCTACACGTACGTCAGGACAATAAATGTCGACATGGGACGATAGAAGGTATCAGATCAGCACATCATTCTGTTTTTCAACATGACGGACTATTAATTGGAAACGATCCCATTCTAACAGACTAATGAGATCCTTTCTACTAGAAGATGTTTGCAAACCTTGTATCTCCTCCAAGTGGAATCTACTGTGGTACTATAAGCACTTTTAACAGAACCTTACGAGCCCATGGCTAAGGCCTGCTTACTCCCAAAATCCAGGAAAGCATCCTTCCTCCTAGCCATAGCAACAGCAGCAAGAGTTTAGAACTCCATGCTCTGGACTGTTCTAGTCTCACCCATGATCAACATTGGACGTCAGTAACTATAAGATCGCTCCCAGACTTTGTAGCTAAGAATCAATCTACCACAATGGGACCGTTGGGCCATAGACATTATACCATACCATTGGGACCGACAGTGGATCACCCAGACAGACTTTTATGTCCCATCACAGCTCTCAAGTTCTATCTCTCGGCTACAGACCCACATAGACGCCATCGAAGGAGACTTTTTATGTCTTGCAAGCCTCATTCCAACAAGGACATCGCCAAGGTTACGACAGCAGGCTGGCTTAAGGCTACCGTTGCAGTAAATTATACGCAGGCACAGAATTCCACTCCACGTCTTGGATCCTGCTCGGCTCATGAGATTAGAGCCCTAGCCACGTCTCGCTTCATTGACGTCCGTCTCAGTAGAACAAGTAGTGTCTGTGGGCCTCACAGAACACCTTCACCAGTTTTTACTTGCGTGATGTGCAGCCGGACCTAGAGGGCATATATTCCCTTGTTGAAAATCTGAAAATTTTAGTTAGTGTTACTGAAGCCAAAATACAGGATTTATGGCAAAGGTGTAATAGAGGTAGTATTCTTAGAATTGTTAACAATGATAACTATTGTTTGATTTTTAGAATTTTACATTATTTTGTGTTACAATTGTTTGTTTGTTCCAAATATTCCAGCTCCTCCTCCTCCTCCTCCTCCTCCTCCTCCTCCCCTAGGGCTGTCAGAAGTGAAACATATGCACACAGTTGAGCACAAGTCAAAACGATTCTGGTTTCATTGACCTGATTCCAACCAATGTGTTTCATTTTGTTCCCAAACTTGTCACATGTTCAAAGAATAAGTACAGTTTCTGTTTCTTCCTAGAGAGTTGGCTTTCCAGATTGCGGAGCAGTTCAGTGTGTTAGGAAAACCCATGGGAGTCCGAGTGACTGTGATTACAGGAGGCCTTGGTGAGAGCTTGTTACTTAGATTTCTCTATGCTACTGTCTAAAGTAGAAAATTGTCAGCAATTCTCAGCACACAGCCACCTATAAAAACTTAGGTACCATTAGGTTAGGGAATAACACTCTGTGTTATCCAGGCACTCTTAATTTTAGAAATGGCGCACTCTGACTTCATTTTGACACCCAAATCCTCAAGCACTTACATGAAAATTTACACTGAAATGCAGTATAGGCATTCAATATGATCAATATGATATGATGTGACTGACATAGAATAATGTCATTCTGAATATCAGCTTGTTATCCCCCGCCCCAACGAAGTTGGTGGGGGATATAGAAATGGCTTCCATCCGTGTGTGTGTGTGCGTGCGTGCGTGTGTGCGTCCCGAAATTGTTTCCGGAGCATAACTCAGAAACCGTTAAATATTTCTCTACGAAACTTTGCATGTCTATCAGACTCATGCTGAACTGGTGCCTATTGCTATTTAGGAATTTTATAAATTTTTATTTTTTACGTTTCCATTGCAACAAGTTTGACTTAGGTTCTATAAGGGTGCTGTTCGCTTCCGGAACGTAACTCAAAAAACGTACAATAATTTCTTACAAAACTTTACATGTTTACCAGACACATACTGAACTGGTGCCTTTTGATATTTAGGAATTTTATAAATTTTTATTTTTTACGTTTCAATGACAAGAAGTTGGATTTAAGTTTTAATATAGGATTGGTTTACTTAAGTAGTATAACCAATAAACTGTTAAATATTTCCTTGCCAAACATTGCATGTCTATATATAAAGCTGATACTGAACTAGTGCCATTTGACATTAAGGAGTTTTAGAAATGTTTATTTTAGAATTTCCATTGCAGCTATTTTGACATGGGCTAAGAGAAATGTTGGGTCAGTTACCTGGTTTGGGACCATAATGTGTTAAAATTGGCGGGGAATATAGATGACTTTGTCAACTATACACTTGTTTTTTTGCATTGAAATTGTGTTTGATTGTGTCATGAAATTTATACAATGATATAAGTCCTAATTCTCCTTAATTACTGCGAAATGTTACAGTTACACAATTATGTACTTTTAAGAGACCCGTGAAGATTCCAGGGTAGTAAAGGTCTTCAGCAACCCATACTTGCCGTAAAAGGCGACTATGCTTGTCGTAAAAGGCGACTAACGGGATCGGGTGGTCAGGCTCGCTGACTTGGTTGATACATGTCATTGATCCCAATTGCATGGATCGATGCTCATGACGTCAATCACTGGATTGTCTGGTCCAGACTCGATAATTTTACAGACCGCCGTCATATAGCTGGAATATTGTTGAATGCGGTGTTAAACAACCAACCAACCAACCAACTTTTAAGACAGCATCAAAGTCTCAACTTCATCGTGATAACTCTTTCGAAATCCTTACGTCATGTCCATATCTCACAAATATATTGCTGCAAGATTTGACATGTTTGAGATCCGGTTTGATGTGTTGTTTCATGTGAACAGTTCAAAAGATTCATGTTAGTCTTGTTAGATAACTAGGATCTGCAGGTTTTCCATCAGACAAAGTCTACATTTGAGCAGATATACAGTTCACATCAACAGCTCTAATTTCCATAGTTTACATTGGACATCATCATTATAAAACAAGATGAAGACATCAAAGATCATGCCATTTCAAAACATGTCCTGGATGTGTTTGTGTTGATCCACAATTTGTGCTTTGCTTGTATAGTTCAATAGTTATACAGTCTGTGTAGGTTTGTTTTCCAGCATGTCTCAAGAATTGAGGAATAAAGTTTGTTTGGACTTATAGCCCAATCTTAGATTGTATAATTACCCCAGACAAGAAACATGTCATATGGGGGACCACTCATTGTTATATATCCTTAACAGCTCCATCGGAATTAACACACATCAGAGGTCAGGATAAACAATGGTCGTGTCATTACAGTTGACAGGCATTCATTGTGCATAGTCTGGGTCAGATAATTGAGGTGCTGAGTGGTGCGATCACTAAGTATTGCATGATATGCCAAAGGGAAATCACAGACTACCAAACATAGCAAGCATGTGCCTATCACCATTGATCACCTTTAGCCTGCTGAATTGTTATAGCATAAGACGCTGTAAAGAGGGTGGACGCTTTCAAACAGTTGGTGCGTCATTAATGAGCCAATTGAAGAAATATTCTGCACATTTTTTCCTGATAGAAAACTACACATTCCAACATAAAACTATCCTGATGTTTTCAATCACACAAAGGTTAAGACCAAAGCGAACACAAAATTTGTAATTTCTTGAACTTATCTGAATTACGTAATTGAATGTTAGGAACCTTTCGAAATCGTTAAATTTGTGCAAATGATTTCAATAATCATACCTTTGATATCTTAATTTAATTCGAGTATAAACTTGATTATTTTTATTTTATTGATAAATTACAGAGCAATGGTAAATTATGAACTATTTCAGTAAATTTATTATCCAAACTGTTAAACAATAAAAAAAAACCTTAAATTTTTAGATCCTTATGTCAGTTGCAGAAATATGAACATTCCTGTTTATCTGACATGTCATGTTATAAAATTTGCTGAAAATGATTAATGACTTCTAAATGTTCAACAATCCTAAATTTCAAGTGTTTTTGTTGTTTATAATGTCAATAACAAATGATTAAATTTTCGTTGTGTTCATTGAAATTCCTGTATTCTGATTAGCTGAATTGGTCACGTGTTATTGCATTCAATTCCCAATGAATGTAAAAAATTAAGCCACGCCCACCGAGGCGCTCTACTTTTATTACTTCGGAATATTGGGGAATCCCAATATTACAGCCGACGGAATTCCCTTTCTGCTCATGTGTATCGTCATGCACAGGACATTTAGCGACTTTCATGCATATTCATTGTCCAAACAAACCTTTGAAACTGAAGGCCGAGAATGAATGAAACAGCAAACGTGCAGGCTCGCTCGCCTGGTTTTTTTCTGCTCGCCTCAGTTCAACTTTCATGTCTTCGGGTTTCCTTTCTAACTAGCATTTTTCCAACTGTGTTTTACCGTCATCAGGGAAGTAATGTTTGAATCTGGCGGTAACTGACCATGTAATTTGAAACAGCTGCCTGCTCCCGGACATATTTCTTCCAGTTTGTTACAGTCTGACTGTTGCAGTTCTTTTTGCCTCTTGTCTTAACTGACAGGTCCAATGAACAATGTTTTGATCCTGCTCTCCGTTGATTGGCTACTGACATTGTAGGCGTGTCAATTTATGTGCATAAATTAAACAATCACCTGATTCATGTCACGCCACAGTATGTATTCCTACACCTGGAATGTTTATCAATCTCGTCATTTTTGATATATACAACTGTTTTTGGTTAAACTATTGTAGATAAATCATGTTTTATGCTGTCGAATTTAATTTTAAGCATTGACTGTGTATTTTTTTCGGTTCATTGAGGTATGAATCGAAAAACCAATGTGCAAACTTTTGTAAGAATCCGCTATGCGGATTCATACAGTTTGCACATTTGTTTTTCGATTCATACCTCAATGAACCGAAAAAAATACACAGTCAATCCTTAACACGACAACAGATAACAGAACAACATTTATTAAATTTTTGGCATTTGGGGATTCTTGGTATATACATATATACATGACACATAAAAATAGTACATGGAAGACTTAACTTCAGCCAAGTCTCTAAATAGGAGTCGCGCACTCCATACTGTTTGAGCGTACTGAGACTTGGCTGAGTATACGAACATGGACGGTGAAGAAATATACCCGATCGGCGAGCTGTACCTCTGCCAAGTAATACGAGTAGGAGTCGCGCACCCCTAGACTTGCTCCCGAGCGCCAGGAGTACCTGGCAGAGTAGACGAATGATGAAAACAAAAAAGGGACGAAGGTTAAATTACTTGCAGGGGGAATAGTATCCGCCTGAATTACCCTCTGATAGAGCGGATAGATTGCCCATATTATTATTAATGATAATTGTGAAATTGAATTGATGAGAATCCCCAACAGTAATTAGGCTGTAAGAGATAAACAGGAGAACATGATAAAATGTTACAGAGTTCCAGTCTTGTTCTAATCCTACTGAATGATGGTCACTTTTGTGCCATCGCTATCTGAGCTTTACGTATGGAAACTTGGGATGTTCTGATATAGCGAGTGTAACACGTCTGAATCATGTGATCGGGCACACCTTTACTTGCAGCTGATGTTGTTGCTCCTATTCTGAATGAATGTCCGTTGTAGGCTTTGTCATCGTATCCAGCCATACTTAATAAGGTTTTGAGGCACTGAATAAAGAACTTCCTGGATAAGGCACTACCACTGGGTGACACAAACAAAGGGTCATGAGGGGAAGTTCCAGATTGTTTCCTGTGATACATGTAGGTCAGCATATTGTGTACTGGACAGATGGCAGTATTCATCCGATGCTGCACAATGTTAACACCTTTGTGAAATGGATCAGTTTTTGAAGATTGCAAGGTGAGTGTAAGGGATGACAAATCCCTAGCAAACACCACTGAATTGAAACACAAATTGACATGTGGGTTGAATCTATCACACGTAAATTCCCCGCATCTGAGGAATGCGAAAAATGCCAGGAAACACACTGCTTTCAGCATAATATTGAGTGTGGAGGTGAAGGCACCTTGGTCTAAAAGGTGACACAACTTGGTAAGTATAGAGCTTGTTATGGGCAACCGAACATATGTTGTAAGGCCTTGCTGTCTCTTCACTGCACCTACTATGGTTTGCAGTCTTGTCAGGTAGCCCAGAGTCAAAGGGTTCGGCACTCCTGCTTTGAGATACATAAACCTTACACGGCATAGGTATGTCTTAATTGTTGCGTACCTGAGGTTTTGATGGTTATGTGCCACAAATCTGAGTAACAATTCTTCCGATATGGGAGGAAGTGATGAACTTCATATACTGCTACATGTTGCGATGAAAAGAGCATAGGCCTTGAACCCTGCTTGGTAGACTTCAT